TTTTTTTTTAGCACTTTCTATGGTGGAGCCAGGATAACTATTCTCATGAACTCAAATTTAACAGTAATTTTATTTTGCTGTTGAAAAAGCAATTGTTTCAGCTAATCTACGGTTTATTGGTGTTCTAGCTGTATGACAATGTTTCCTCAAATATGTATTACATGAACTAGTTTAACACTTTGAAAACTAAACATTTATGAAAGCCAAGCATATATTTTTTTTTTTTTTGTTCTGCACGTAGGTTTTTGTGTTCCAGGTATCTGTGTTTCTAGCAATACATTGTAAATACTGTAATACTAGGTCTGGACGTCATGTTGCTGGAGTGTTAACAGAGATAGTGCTTCACAAAAACTCATCCTTGTGTGTGCAAATCTACTTCCTCTAACTGTAATGTGTTTCACTGGAGATAAGAGCTGGAGTGGGAGAGGCCAGTGCAGGATTATTGTGATGAATGTTGGCTAGCAATCCAGTGAACTAGTATAGGAAATACAATGAGCACATGTTCATCAAAGACTTGTGGAAAAAAATGGCTGGTTCCGAGCAGTAATTCACACTTTGTTGCATTCACCTTTTTGATGTTGGTCAGATTTAATATACATTTGTGCATGCGCAGGATCTAGCATTGCATTTTCTCTGGTGGCAAAGTTAAATATTAAACTACAGTTGTATGACACACCTTCCTGGCCGGCTACAGTTATACTCCAAATTATCCAACCCCCACTGAAAATAAGGTTTATCAAAATTTACAGACATTCAGCTGTTTGCAATGAACAAATCAAACAAAAGCATTTGAAATAGCTCAACACAACAAATTCTTCAAGTTGTTTCCATAATTCAACTGAGAATGCAATTTATGACTTCTCCAGTCTCAATCCCTCACAACAGCACACATATGCAAAACAGGTATTGTCTCAAACACACCTGGTATAATTAATCAAGGGCTTTATTAGTTGCACCAGGTGTGCTTGAACATTTGAAATACTTAAATTGGCTAGGGGTTTAACCCCTTAAGGACGGCGGGCATGCTATGCCGTCCTTGGGGACCTGGCTCTAAACGCCAGCGGGCGGCTTAGCACGTCCCTGCTGTCCTATGTACTTAGGCCGGCGAACGCGGTGGGGGGACTCACCTGGCATCCCAGGGGGGAGTTCTGCTGCCGTTCTGGCTCCCCCTGGGCCATGTGATCGCAAGGTTCTTGTGAGGACCTCACGATCACATGGACGGCATAGCCGTCCACAGCAGGGGGAGTGCCTGTAATTACTGGTAATCCCCCTTCTGCCTGAAAAAAATAAAGTTTAAAACCGTTTAAGATTATATATACTTAGATCATATATATGTTATATACACTGTCTGTATTTTAATATATAATTTTATATATAAAATCAAAATATATGTAGAATATTGATTCAAAAAAGGTTATATAAATTATCCTTATTTATCAGCAAAGCGGTGGATCGGGGTTGGGGCCGGTGCTGGTCCCGCCACATAGGCCTCCTTGCTGACATCAGAATTTATTATTTCAGCCAATGCAATCCTGATAGAGATGCATTGAATCAATGCTTCTCTATGAGAAAAGTTTAGCGTGGAGACGCTTAACGACTGTAAGCACATCCAGTGGTAACTGGAGGTGTTCCGTTTACATGAAAATGCCTGAAGAGAATGATTATCCTTACAAAAACTACATTAAGCTGTAGTTGTTCTAGTGACTATCGTGTCTCCTTGAGAGACAAGATCATTGCCCTTCTTAAACAAGGAACAGGATACAAAAAAAGTGAAGGCACTGAATGTTCCTACAGACACCTTTGGAAACCTAGTTTGCGATTTCAAAGTTGAAGGAACAGTGGGTACACCATTTGTGTAGTGGCTCCAAAATGCTCAAAATCATATAAATAATCCACAAAAGTTTTGGGATTCTGTTCTGTGAAGAGATGAAACAAAAGTGGAACTTTTTGGTCCCAGTGGATCAGCAGTATTTTTGGAGGAAGAAGAATGAAGCATATGCTAAAAAGAACTCTGCCTTCAATTGAAAATGGTGGTTCAATTCTGATGATCTCATCCATGGAGGCGTAGCCGGGGTGCGGAACCAATAAATCTAGCTCTCCTCATTGAGATGCCTTGAATCAATGTATCTGTATGAGGGATAATTCAGAGTCTCTATGCAGAGCTTGGAGACTCAGAATGTTGGTGACCCCGGAAGCACCTCTAGTTGCCAACCTAGTCCCACTGCAGGTGTCACTAGGCAGCAAACATCTCTGAAAAAGGCAGTGTTTTCATTTTTTTTAATTTCTTTTTTTTAAATGCAGGGACAGGATATAGATGCCAGAAAACCTACATTAAGATGTAGTTGTTCTTGTGCCTAAAGTGTCCCTTTAAGAGTACTCTTTAAGCACTAGAACTACTAGATTAAATGTGTTGTATACTCTTTAAAGTGGCATCAGACACTACATGTGACAGGTGCATCTTAAAACACACACAAGTTTGTTGATTCCCTCTTCATGTTGTGCTGGTAGGATTAGGCAACTGGGCAGGCTCTCATCGAAGCCTAGAATCACTCACTCCTCTCCCCATTGTTCTCGCTTTCCAAGAACAAGTGTTGATCCTGACTAGAATCTGTGACTTGCAGTTTGCCTTGTAAGGTGGTTTTCTTGTGTAATATTACCATTTCTGTGTAATATAGATATGGGTCTTTTGTGAATTAAAGGAACACCTACAGTTTTAGGAACACAATGTATAATCCTATCTTTATACTGTTTTATGCTCTTATTTAGATTAGCGGCTTCCCTAAATTTAAAGGACCACTATAGTGCCCTGAGGGTGCCCCCACCCGCCAGGCTGGATGGAGAGGAAGGGGTTAAACTTACCTCTTTCTCCAGCTCCTGGCAGGGAGCTCTCCTCCTCTTCGGCTGAAGGCGCATGCACGGCAGGAGCCGCGCGCGCATTCAGCCAGTCCATAGGAAAGCATTCACAATGCTTTCCTATGGACGCTGGCGTCTTCTCACTTTTCAGCGAGAAACGCGGAAGCGCCTCTAGCGGCTGTCAATGAGACGGCCACTAGAGGCTGGATTAACCCTAACATAGAAAAAAGGATTAACCCTAGATGGACCAGGCACCCAGACCACCTCATTAAGCTGAAGTGGTCTGGGTGCCTATAGTGGTCCTTTAATAAAAGGGATTTTACTTCCCTTCTTTTTCAACGCTGCATTACAGTCCTTGCAACAGACAGCTCGTCCTCCCACACTGTCATCTTGCAGACTTTTCTTGCACATCTCAATCAAAAGCTCATGGGAAATCCCTGGATCCAATGATTCTCTATCAGCAGCCTTTGCTGACAATGAGGATGCCAAACTTTGTCATCGTAGCGGAAGCACCTCTAGTGGCTGTTAGAAATTCATCCACTTGAGGTGTGTTTAGCTCTTCCATGAAAATATTGCCTTTCTATTCTAAAGAGCATAGTTTTCATTTGCAGATATAAAAGGGCTACTTCACCCAAAAGACTTCATTGAGATGAAGTGGTCCGGGGTCCTTTAAGTGTAGATAACTGGTTTGTTTCCTGTTGAACAACTTTTTGACTCTAGTTTGGGATTCCTAGCAGTAGTTCTTTTTATTTTCCTTTTAGTTTCAAGTGGTTTGAATTTCAGGAAAGCTGTAATTCTAAATGTAATACAATTTACTATAAATACTGGACAAACCAGTTTCTCTACCTGTGTTGTAATTTAATTCTTCAAAATAGGCCCCTATCCCCTTCTAGCAGACATTTGCTTGGAAAATGGTAATTACATGATGTAACATAGTGGTTGTTTTAAGTGATTGCTATATTTGGATGTCTGTGTATGAACTGACAGATTTATAAAGATACTTTTCTTCTACTTGATGCTTACTAATGTCAAATTGAAAACCAAACACCGGCATGAAGAAGGCAACATTACTATTTACATCCATGACCAGATACAAATCTATTTTTGTACTTTTTTTTTTTAATTCATTTTTTTAAGAATTGGTTTTCTTTTAATAAAATGCTTTTAGATGAAATCTTATTTAAAGATAGCTTTATATTTAACATAAATTCTAGTACAAAGTTTATGCAGCATGAAATATTGATTAGTTGCATACCATGAAGCAAGATTTACATTTTAGGTAAATTAATTACATTACTCCAAGTTAATTGAATTTGTATCTGCAGAGCTAACTGGCATGTTTTTCACATCAAAAATATTATAGAATAAACATACAAAATTCTGAGAAAGATCTTAATCCCATTGCTATTTAGCAGACTCCCTGGCCCACACCAAATGTTACTTATCAACTTTCATGTTGGCACCAGGGGCATAGGACTTCCAGCTCCTGGTTAATACTGCTGTCAAATGTGTTTTATTTTTAAATTTATTTTTATTATAACTTGGTGAATGTTAAGCTAGTGTTTACTATTAAAGTATTGTCTGCACACTGTAACAACAACAACAAATGTTTTCCTGACATATTATTAGGATACACCTGGGAGATCTTATACGAAGGTTGATGCTCCCAACAAAATTTACCTATTTATAGGTTTTATCTGTTAAAAATTAGTTTTCTGAGAGACGTGGACTGGCAGCATGAGACACAACACTTGTCTCAGAAATAGTTGCCATATTTCAGGAGACTGTATCTTTAAGTGACATCTTGACGTAAATAAATGGCATATAACAGAAGCCTACTAATTGCCTATTACTGCATTCGCCGTTACGGCGTTCTATGCCGTCCCCATTCTAATGGGCTTTAAAGCCTTTGCGGCGGCATAGAACTGCTTAAGCCCCCAGAAGTTCCAGTGGACTTACCTCTGCTGCAATCCTATTCGGAAGGACTGCCTGGCAACCCAGGCAGCCCTCCCCCTGCAAATATGGCCCCCTATAGCTGGCTGTCGATCTGCCAGCAGGGAGACTGTCTGGGCTGGCACAGTCCCCCTGCTGGTGGGAAGTATAAAAAAAAATAAACATGTTTAAATAAATTGTGTGTGTGTGTGTATGAAAAATAGTTGGTTGCACTCTCGGAATTCCATTAAAATATAACTTTTACTCCAGCTTTTAAAACAGATCAACGTTTCAGTCGATCTTGTGGACTGAAACGTTGATCTGTTTTAGAAGCTGGAATAAAAGTTATATTTTAATGGAATTCCGAGAGTGCAACCAACTATTTTTCTATTTGGATATTTAAGCCCTGGCACTGCACCCGGTTAAAAAAAATTTGGAGCCTGAGTGCAAGGTACAGTCTATTTTTATATATAATATAGTGTGTGTGTATATATATATTTTAATATAAGTACATATATTACTTATTACACTTAAAAGGAAGTTAGATATTATATATTTTCTATAAATATATATGTATAAATAAAATATTAAAAAAATAATTAAATATATACATATGTAATTTCATTCTAACTGTATTTTGTTATTGATATATTGGTAACAAAATACACTTAGAATGACATTCTATATATATCTATCTATATATAAAATATTAATATCCATGTGTGTATGTCTATATTTAATCTTTTAGCATAATTATGTGATTTAATTAAAATTTGATTGACCTTCCTGACAACCCAGGCAGAAAGTGCAGAGAATGTAATTCGCAACTACTATATTTAACCCTGTAACTTTCCAAGACCATATAAAACCTGTACATGGGGGGGTACTGTTTTACTCGAGAGACTTCATTGAACAAAATATTAGTGTTTCAAAATGGTAAATTGTATTATGATATTTTTAGGGATACACCGAAATTTTTGGCCGAAAATGGGCCTATCCCGTTTCGGCCGAAAACGTGTCAAATTTGCCAAAATTTTAAAAAAAGAGAATTTTTTTTTTTTTTATAATATATTTTGTAGTGCATAGTTTAACAGACATGCATTCAGATGATTATATATCACAATGAAAGATAGTAATGATAACATGAAAAGTCAAGAATACTGCACTTGGGGCGGGGGGGGAGGACACTATGGGACAGGGGAAGGGGGGGAGAAAAGAACACTATGGGACAGGGGAGGGGGAGGAGAAAAGGACACTATGGGACAAGGGAAGGGGGGGAGAAAAGAACACTATGGGATGGGGGGGGGAGACAAGAACACTAAAAAAAGAGGGAGGGGAGAGAAACATTAAGTGGGGGACCACTAAGGCAGAAGGGAAGTTTTTCATATTGGATAAATTCATTAAAAAGTCTAATAAAATTATAGGAAAAAATACTTTAAAAAAAAAAAAAAAAAATCATTGGGGGGGGAAGTCGGTTTCGGTCAAGGGCATTTTAAATTTTAGGTTTTGGCCCAGAATTTTCATTTCGATGCATCCCTAGATGTTTTTAGTAAAATTTATAATTTTTCATTTTTTACACGTGAACGGCACTTTTACAATACTATTGTTGTAATACGTTTTACTGTTTTGAAACACTAATGTTTGTGTTCATTGAAGTCTCCCAAGTATAATTGTACCCCCCATGTACAGGTTTTATGGTGTTTTGGAAAGTTAGAGAGTCAAATACAAGGCTTGCATTTCATGTTTTTCACATTGAAATTTGCCAGTTTGGTAATGTTGCCTTTGTATGGTAGCCCAGGAATGAGAATTATCCCCATGATGGCATACTATTTGCAAAAGTACCCAAGGTATTGCAAATGGGGTATGTCCAGTCTTTTTTAGTAGCCACTTAGTCACAAACACTGACAAATATTATTTTTTTTGTTGCTTTTTTCACACAAAAATTAAATATGAACGCTAACTTTGAGGCGCGGGAATGTCTGTACTCGCGAGTGTACGGGTTATGTCTGTAAGTAAGAATGGAAGTCTATTGTAGTGCCTTCCAGTCATTTTAAGGGACGCCCTCTAAAACCTGTACCTCAAGAATAAATAATTGTAGCATGTATAACACTGGCTGTGCAAAGGGGTAAGCATGCATGTTTAAGGGATACTGTAGGCACTATAATAATTTAATTTGGTTGTAGTACCTGGAGTCCCCTGGCAATTTAACAATAAATGCTCCCTGGCGCTGCGCACAGCCTGGCCCATACTGAAGGCAAAGTTGGTTAAGGCAGAGATGGCAAACTTAATTCAAGCCATGCTGAAGGGACACTCCAGGCACCCAGACCACTTCTGCCACCACTTCTTTCAGACAGCCACGGGAGGGACTTCCGGCTTCTTAAAACACGAAAAGTGTTTTAAATGATGCTGGACGTCCTCATGCTATACATGAGGACCTCCAGCATCGCCCAAGTCCCCATAGGAAAGCATTAAATTATGCTTTCCTGTGGTGAAGTCTAATGTGCCATTGCCGCGCAAGCACATTAGGTCTCAGCGGGGGAGAAGCGTGGGCGGATCCTGATCCAGCGCCGAGGGACATCGGCGCTGGATTCAGGTAAGTCACTGAAGGGGTTTTATCCCCTTCAGCAACGTGGGATGGCGGGTGGGAGGGAGAGGGGCACTAAAGAATTCTGCAGTGCCAGGAAAACTGAGTTGCTTTCCTGGCACCGGCGAGTCCCTTTAATACCAGCAATGGGAGCTGTGAAAGTGGTAAGACACTCTCAGCCAATTGCAGTCACCCATTGTTAAGGCAAATGCTTCCTCCTTGGCCAAACTGCCCAGAGGTAATGGGCTACTGGGGACTTTTGTCCAGCATTAAAACATGAAAACAGTTTATCGCTGATTGGACAGACTAGGTCCAAGGGACTAAAGGCATTCAATAAGATGAAACTGTTATAATGCCTACAGTTTCCCTTTAATGGTTTTCGATCATAAAGGTTGTTTTGGTAATACATTTGTATGAAGTTCTTTGTTTCAGCGAATCAATACTATTTAAAGAGGAACTATAAATAGCAGTCCTACTCAGAAATAATGACCTTAACACCTTGACGACCGATGACGATTCAGGACCGTCATCGGAAACATCCCCTTGAGGACCGATGACGGTCCTGAACCGTCATAACGTCTTGGGGGTACTTACGTGATCGCAATCGGTCACCCGGCGGCGATCAGCGCTCTTCTGGGTCCAGGGGGACTGCCCCAGTCTCCCCACAGCAGATCAGGACCCCGTGGTCACGTGATCACTCGATCACATGACCACAAAAGGTGTCTGTGTATCTGCCTGCAGGGGGACTGTCTGTGGAAAATCATTAAATAAAGTTAAAAAAATAGCAATCAGTGTAAACAAAATTTAATATAAATATATATATTATAATAAAATCAGGTAGTTTGGCTGCACTCACGGATTTTCAATAAAAATTTACTTTTATTCCAGATACTATTAAAACAGATCAACGTTTCAGTCCATCTTGTGGACTTTCATCAGGATAATGATGAAAGTCCACAAGATGGACTGAAACGTTGATCTGTTTTAAAAGTATATCTGGAGTAAAAGTAAATTTTTATTGAAAATCCGTGAGTGCAGCCAAACTACCTGATTATATGGATACTCAAGCCCTGGTAATGCACCCGGTTCGGCAAATTTGAAGCCTGTGTGCGAGGTACAGTTGGATTGTGTGTGTGTGTGTGTGTGTATATGTGTATATATATATATATATGTATGTGTGTATGTATGTATGTATGTGTGTGTGTATATATATATATATATATGTGTATGTGTGTGTGTGTATATATATATATATATATAT